TCTGGGGCAGGCGGGAATCGAACTCATGCGGAAGTGGCTTTAGATTCTCAGTGCTGTGCTTTAACCCGCTGCGCCACCAGGGAGGGCCTTGAGGAATTTTTTTTTTTTAATTTCTATTTTATTTCTGCTCTTTTATTATTTACTTCCTTCTACTAACTTGGGTCTTCCTTTAAAAAAAAAAAGATTTAGTTTTATTTATTTATGCATTTAAGAACTGGGGTTTAGGCCAGAGGTATGGAGAGTGAGAGGACTCACCAGAGACAGAGTGGGGAACAAAATAGGTGGATTTACTGAAATACAATGCTGAAGGGAACACAGGGTAAGACAGGAGAGGTCTGCTGTGCCCTGTGGGTCAGCTCATAGAACTCATGCTACAGTGGTTGGCGATAGCTTGCTAACACTGAGACTTTAACTTGGGTTTTATTTGTCCCTCTCTTTCAAGTTGTACTGGTTCCAGTATTAGGGTATTTTGTGATTCTTTTTTGTTCCTTAATGTAGGCCTGTGTAGTAATTACCTTCCCTCTAAAGACTGCTTTAGCTACCATTATATAAATGTATTCTCTCTCTTGTTGACCTGTCCATAGCTGTAAGTGAAATATTTTAAAATACCCTAGTATTATTGTGTTGCTATCAAGCTCTCTCTTTGTTATATATATATATTCATTACATCCTCCTTCATTTTTGTACAATGTATGATTTCCCTGAGAAATTTCCACCAGTTCACCCATGCACCATCACTGAGGTACCTTGTGCTCTTCCCACCCCTATACTGGCCCTTCTCCCTCCTCCTTTTTATTGTCTCTGATCTATATTTGCCTGATGATTTTGATTTTTACTTTATTACAGTTTTTTTTTCCTGATTCCTCTTTTGTTTATTTCTCTTTTGTGTGCATCTTATGTATCACAATTATCCATCTTTTTGGTGAATATATATTCATAAGAGTTATTTCTTCTTATTGTATTAGGCCCTTAACTATAATATAATGTCTGTCTTGATCTCTTAATACCTTTTATAATTAGGTAAGTAGAGTTGTTCCTGAATTTTTGTGATTGCTATTTGCTTGTAGGATTGTCTACCAGCCATTAACTGCTTAGTGTCACAGCAAAGACAGTTCAGTTAGTTTTTCCTATTTTTTCCCACTGGATCCAGATTTTCTCTGCTGCAATTTAATTGTGAATTTATGAAGAAGGCAAGTCTAGTGTCTTTATTCTGGTGATAATCTGATAGACTCTACATTATTTCTGTTCTTATGATTCTCTACAGAATGCCCTATGAATCAAGGATTTTCCAATCTGGCTAGGAGGAACATGTTCTATACTCAGTCCTTTGTGGGTGCTGACACCACTCTCCAATCATTTTGGCTGTTTCTTTCCCAACCTCCAGAGGTTTATGTAAACATAAATACCATTCAGTACTTTACTGAAACCTTGAGGGGAGTTGTCACAGAGGTCCTGTGTTCTGTCTCTCTGCAGATCTGTGCTCTCCAGCGCTCTATCCTAAAAACCAATGGTGTTGCTCTCCCCAGACATTCAACTTCATCCCTTCCAATTCAAAAAATCAGGCAGACTCCATATGGGTTCTCCTCCCTGAGCAGTGACTTAGAAATGTTTTCAGTGCAGTTAGCTGAGGTAAGAGCTGATTATGTCCTCCTGTGTCTTATGGGTCATTTTCCTTGTTACCTAAGGTCTAGTGTCCTTAAAACTCTTATTTTTTCTATTTTGTCCATTTTGTGCTTGTTTCAAATGGTTGGATAAGCTAGTTTCAGTTACTCCATCTTATCTGGAAGAGAAGTAGCTATCATACTTAATATAAATATACATGGAATTTAAAGGTATCCTCGGATCAAAATGACACCTTACCTTATTAAAGTATCATCATCCACAATGACTAACCATGCTATTTTGTCATAGCTATGATTCAAAAATCTTTCCAAAATGGCAAATGTCTTTCCACAATGACCTAGAAAAGATAAGAGGAAAACTTGCAATGCATTCTTTCTTTAAAATATATATATGATATATGACATATATACATAACATATATAAATATATATAATATATTATATTTTATATATTTACAAAATATACTATATATCTTATATATTAAAATATTATATATACTATA